AACATTAGTAAATAAAAATAACTTACAGCCCCTTCTTGTGGCTTGGTAAGTGCCAATTAAGTATTTGACATCTGTTTATTGTGAAATACTGAAGACTCTTTAATATCTTATTTTTGGTTTGCTATCAGTGGCTTTGAAATAAACGTGGTGGAATTTTTTCTTGATTACTATGTATAGTTTTGAAATTCACTGTGATGGGTAAATATTCTTTACAGGCTTGGATTTGCCTCTTGTGAATCAGTGAGCTGCTTTGGGAGTCTGTCTCATTAGCCAATGCCCCGATTTGCACGTATAACCTTCCTTTTTTTTTTTTACAACCCAGTTACTTGATTCATTCTCCATGTTTAGGAAACAGGGCAGTTAATATTCACCTATGTTCGTTTCTCACAGCTCTCATCCTACCTACCATATACCAGTGCTGAGTTTTGCCAGTGATTCCTACCTTATCTTTATCTCTCCTCTCCTGTTTTGTTTTGCCAGCTCTGTTGCTCTTGACACTTGTCCCCTTCCATATTCCAGCATTATAACAGCTTCCTGTCTTTTCAAAGCTCATTTCATCAGTGGGGTATGGAAACACAAATACGGCACACTTAAGACTAAAACCGTCTGCATCCTCACTGTCCTGGCCCCAGTCCTGCATGTGCCAGATTGGGCCCCATTGTCTCAGCCTTAGCTCCTGGTGCTGCAGGGCTTGAAATTTGGCTGTGGGGGAGTGATGGCAGCACGTTTCTTTGTGACTTGAGTAAGTTTGATTGGAGTCTTGTGAACAAAAAAGGTGGAACAGCACAGCGTTTGTAGTCAGAGTTGATCCCTCCTTGCCCCTTATGCAGTAGTTGCACCCTCTTGTATCTTGGTGCATGTTTTCACTAATGTTTGCCTGCCTTGCTCTTCACCCCATGCTAATTACGCAAGCTCAACTAACCTTCTTGTTTGTGTTTGCTACTATTCTGCAGACTGTATTGGCCTAAGAAGCAGTTTTGACCCTTGGAGGAGGGCTATTATAGCAGAACAAATTATCTTACCGATGGTTCATTTGCTTGCTGGTTGCAAATGGCTTTTGGTGCAGGGTGTTTTCTGTTTGCTGTGGAAAAATGGCTTTCTCCTTTAATGGAGAAAAACACGGGGAAACCACAGGTTTCCCCTTGCAGACTGGCAGAGTTCCAGCCTGTGAGGGGCTGCTTTGGGTGGGGAAGAGAGGGACGCAGGGGTACCATGTGCATGTGCACACATGCACATGGCGGTTAGGCAGTGGTGGAGAGCAGCTCCCACCACTCCCTTCAGGTAAGCCTATGGGGCTGGGGGCAGGAGGCATAGGTGACACATTGGCAGGATTGGGTGGGGCACAGGCCACATGGCGGGGGCAGCACAGGTGACAGATTTTTTAATTGGAGAATTTACGATTTGTAAACAGAAAACCAGGATTCCTGGTGATTAAATAACATAAACCCTATGAATCCCAAATCTGACATTGCCACTGGAGAAAATGATTGTGCCAAGATGCATGCTGGAAGTCCCCTGTTTCAGCAACTGGCTTTGGAGTTTTAAGGTGCTTAGTTCTGTTTGCTTAAAACACTCTGTGTTGATAAATTACAAGCACTCTGCATTTAGTAAAGATCATAAATTCCAGCTCCACAAAATAACAGCCTTGCAGCACTTAGTCCTGTTTATGAAGTAGTTCATCCACGTATTCCTCCAAGACTTGCAAATATATCTAACAACCATGTTAAGATAAAGTTAATGGGGTAGTACAAAACCACAAATGCAAGAGCACTCATTCACAAGCCTCTGGCTCAAAAGGATCATTGAAGGAGTGTGTTGTACCTGGCTCCTTTCTGCCTAGACACTAGCAGAACCATTGTGGGTCTGTGTTTAGATTAAGGTCACTCCCCTATTGTCGTTTTTATTTGGGGATTTATGTTTGCTATAGCTTTATGGCAACTATTCTAGTGTATGGCTGAGATTTTTTTTGGGTGCTTGTAGTGATCATTGTGTCAAAGTTTCTCATCATTGCGGGATGGAGGTGGGTGGGTGGCAAGGTGTTTGCGTCCTATATTTTAACCTTCACATGGGGGTTAATAATACTTGCCTATCAAGTGGGGATGATATGGGGCTTGATTCATGAATATTTGTAAAGCATCTTGAGGTCATTGGTCAGAAGCTGCTGGTAAGGTGCAGAGCATTTTGGCAGTTTGAAAGTGTGGAATGAAGTCTGGATGTATTGAAATAAACTGCAATCTAATTTTCATTTTAATTAAGGTAATTAACCATTGGGGGGATCACATCAATATGATGGTATGGCTGAGAATTTTAACACTCTGCAGTAAGAATTTTCAGATGTATGATTGTCACAGCAACCATAACTGTGTCTTTGTGTGTGTTAAGGCATAAATGTAACAGCATAAATAGTAATTCAAGCGGCACGTTAATATGCAGGGGTCAAATCACAATTGTAGGGGGAACATACTTAAATATAGACTATCAATATTTTAAACTGAGCATAAGCGTGTTCCTGGGGAGGAGAGAGTCTTTGAATTTCTTTACTTGCCTTAGTTAACACAGTACTCAGAAACGAAGATTTTAAAATGGGTTTCTGAACGTAATTATATAACTGCAAATCATTTGTAGTCGGCAGACTGGTTTGAACTCCAGCTGGGAAGGCCTCAGTGTAGTTTGTAGTTTAAAGCACAGCTGGAGTTTCAAAACATTGATTCCACAGAGTATGAATCTGCATCTGTGGATGAAAGCCTCCCATTGACAGTGTGCGGCAGCCTCCATTTGAAATGCTTTCTTCCCTGTCTCTTTGGATGAT